AGATTTTATGCTAGTTCATTTAGTAATACTGGAAAATATTTAATAATTTTTGAAGTAAATGATATTTTTTTGGGTCTTTTCGATTGAGAAAAAGAACGTATAAATGAAAAATGGTCTGAAAAAGACAAGAAAAAAGCTATTATTTTGGGGTTTTGGTAGTTGGTGTCCCTAGTGGTAGATTGTTTTCCAAATGAATTAATTTGATTGTGTTAATAACGGGTTTATATAATTATGATTTTCAATTTATTGTGGGTAATCTTTGATAGACACTTGAATCTTTATTTTAATTACAACTTGCACATAGGTATGCTCTTAACATAGAATCATTGTTGTTCTTGTTGGTGATTATTGGGGTGTATACATAAAATATGAAGTAATATGGTTTGAAAAGATTGTTTGCAATGAAAATTGTTTAGAATCTTATTTATTTTTTATCGTACTTTGTAAATAATGCATATTGAAATTGGAGATTTCATTGTACTCAATGGATGCAAAAATAGATTGTAATCTTGTTCTTTATCATTGACTTCCTGTTTTAGTGTTGTGAGGAAGAACCTACGTACAAGAAGAGACTGCAGGAAGAAAACATGTTTTTTGGGATTAGTATTTGATGGGTTTTGTGGAATGTGATTATATGTAATGAACATTTTATCAGCATTGTGGATGTCACCTCTCTTAGCATATTAGTCCATAACTGCCATATGCGAACTGAACATTGGTTTGCCCCTTTTGCAGTATGGAGTCAACTTTTTCCACTTCTCCAACATCGAGGTAAAGCATCACATGTGCATCCCCTTTACGAGGTCCTTTCCTTTGGCCAACATTTTATATTGTGTATAAGCTTTTAGTAGAATCGGGGATCTTTTCATCTCATTGTATAATGTATTACTTTAATGCTTATACATATTTTTGTACTTGATGTACACTTGCATGTATGGGTTGTATAAAATATTCATGTATGTGAATTCTTGATATTAAAATCTTGTCATTGGGTCGAATATGGGATCTTTTTCATTGGGAATGCAACTCTACAGTTTGACATTGACGTATCTTAGTGGTTCAATGACACAGGAGAATTAAGAAGTTTGATCTTACAAAGAAATTTGTCACTTTTTTGAATTTTTATCACTTCCAACTTATTGGTAGTTATGTCCTAAAAATGAAGTTATGTTTTATTTCTAGTTAATAGAAGTGAAGCATAATCACAAATAGACAATATAGAAAAGAAAATCAACCATCATTTGGATCTCTTCTAAGATTTTGATTGATGTTAAATATTATTTCACTTTTTGGGGCATGTCACTTTTTGGAGTGTTTCTCACTTTTTTGAATTTTTGGCACTTCTTAAATTTTTGTCACTTTATTAAACTGATTCCAAGGTTTTGACTCATGTTTTGTCACTTTTTTTTAGTGTTTGACACTTTTTTGGATTTTTTTTCCGCTTTTTTAGTTTCTATCATTTTAAATTCTGTAACTTTATTGAATTGATTTCAAGGTTTTAATTGGTGTTGTCACTTTTTTTTAAAAAAAAATTTATATTACTTTATTAAACTAATTCCAATGTTTTGATTAGTGTTTTGCCACCTCTGGAATGTTTTTTACTTTTTTGAATTCCTGTCCATTTTTTTTTGAATTTTTGTCACTTTTTATAGTGCTTGTCACTTTTTTCTTCACTTTATTAAGATTTTTGACATTTTTTGAGTGACAACTATCACTTTTTAATAAAAGTGAATTTGTATGTCATTTTTTAATAAAAAAAAATGATACTTAACTTTAAAAAGTGACATTGTCAGTTTTTAATTAAAAAAAAATGACAGTATTTTTTAATTCCAAAATACTTTTCATATGATATTTGAAGATGCCCCTAATTTTAGGGGTATTTTTGTAAATTGCCCCTCTTTTAATTGTGTTAGCCCACTCAACTTATCTTGGCCCATCTTATGTTAGCCTAATTGTAAATGCTTGTTTGAGAGAAACCGGTTCTTGCAATTGAGATTGAAGGCAGCCATTTTACTCCTCTTCTTTGTGAAATCATGACCCAAAAATATGTTCCCTTTTCTTCTCTTATTTTGAGTGATATTGCAGCCACATTCTCCCTTGAGAAAATTACCTAGAAACCTACTTTTAAAGTTTCATTTTCAAGAAACAGGTGGATTAATTTTTTTTTTTTTTTACAAATCAGGTGGTAATTAAG